TTTGCAAACACTTTGAATTTGTACAGCCATTGCCTGAACAATCCCCAGGCAGTTGGCTCTAACCACACCCACAACATCACAGGGACACAGGGACTCTACAGGGAGCAGCAGAGAAAGGCTCTGGCTTCCTCTTCCTTCGCCCTCTCCATCAATGTTGTGGGGGAGCATAAGGAAACCACGGATAGCAATTTGTCCTATCAAGGCTCCATTATGGGAATGTGAATACATTGGTTTACATTGAGGTTACTGAAATATTCCCATTTTCAGATGGCTACATTATCAACAAGTGAGTTATAGTAAGACTGCATGTACCCTCGGATGCATGTCATTCTGAACATGATACTGTTTATGGTGTCATTTTGAAGTTACTGGTGCAAAGAGCTATTAATCAGCCTTTTGAGTTACCTTTCTGACTGCGTTATTTGTGTTTCTGCGACATATTTAATGTTTTGAGCAACTTTTGTGCATTTTTATACTGAGTGCATCATCTGTCAAGCATGCTATAGTTCTGGGGGTTGCATTTACCCTTTTGATTATGTCCAGAATATTTCAAGTATTATTATAATCCTAAACTAATCCTAGCAAGTTTTAGATCATTAGTGGATCCATGCAATTTATAATTATACAATACACAGAAAAAAAACATTTTTTATAATAAATCTTACCATATAAACTTGGAATAATGTTATAATTTGTAGTATTCTAAATTATTGTAGCATTATTCCAAAATTCTTGAAAATCCAGTTTACCTTCCATTTTGAACATGGATATCTCCAAAATCGATTATCTAATATTGTCTTAATACAAAACGCGAGCAAAGGAGGATTTACTGTATGTCTTTCAAAATTAAGTTTTTTTTTACTACAAAGGATACAATTAGTTATAACTGAATAAATGACAGCATAAAATCAGAGCCCTGATAGACTCCATGTGTGTGTGAAACACTTCACTAAATCGCATTTTAAACTTCCTTTGAGAGAAACCATTCCAAATAATTGTTTAGAATTATTTAGTCAGCTTTTATTCTAGGGAACCTTCATTCTAATCACAATTATAAATGCTGAGCCAAGCTGCCTCCTGACACACCTTTTCAAGAACCTTTTCAAGGCAAGATCTGGTACATACAGTTGCAAGAAAACATTTGTGAACCCTTTGGAATTACCTGGATTTCTGCATTAATGGCTCATAAAAATCTGGTCTGATCTTCAACTGTCACAATAATAGATAAACACAATCTGCTTAAACTACTAACACACAAACAATTGTACTTCTTCTTGTCAGTACTGAACACACCGTTTAAACATTCACAGTCCAGGTTGGAAAGAGTATGTGAACCCCTAGGCTAATGACTTCTCCAAAAGCTAATTGGAGTCAGGTGTTCCAATCAATGAGGAGATTGGAGGTGCCCTGCCCTATAAAAAAAGGCACACAAAAGTTAGTTACTGACAGAGTCTGCTCTTCTCAAGAAAGAGCCGTTCATGTGAACCATGCCCAGTTCAAAAGAAATATCAGAGGATCTTAGAAGAAGAATTATAGAGACGCATAAAGCTGGAAAAGGCTACAACAGCATTTCTAAAGGCCTAGTTGTTCAGTTCATCAATCCACAGTAAGACATATTGTCTACAAATGGAGGAAATTCAGTACTTTTGCTACTCTCCCTAGGAGTGGACGTCCTGCAAAAATCATGGCAAGAGCACAGAGTGCAATGTTGAAGGAGGTGAAAAAGAACCCTAGGGTAACACCAAAGGACCTGCAGAAATCTCCTGAACTTACCAAAATCTCTGTTCATGTGTCCACTATAAGAAAAACACTGAACAAGAACGGTGTTAATGGAAGGACACCATGGAGAAAACCTCTGCTTTCCAAAAAAACATTGTTGCACGTCTCAAGTTTGCAAAAGGCCACCTGGATGTTCCACAATGCTTCTGGGACAATGTTCTGTGGACAGCCGAGACAAAAGTTGAACTCTTTGGCAGGAACATGAAATGCTATGTTTGGAGGGGAAAAAAAGCACTGCACACCAACACCAAAACCATCCCAGCTCTGAAGCATGGTGGAGGGAGCATCAGGGCCTGGACAGCTTGCTATCAGAGAGGGAACAATGAATTCAAAATTGTATCAAGCAATTTGACAAGAGAATGTCAGGGTAGTGGTCCATCACCTGAAGCTTAGTAGAAGTTGAGTGATGCAACAAGACAATGACCTAAAACACAGGAGTAAATCAATAACAGAATGGCTTAAACAGAAGAGAATTTGTGTTCTGGAATGGCCCAGTCAGAGTCCAGACCTCAACCCAATTGAGATGGTGTGGCATGACCTGAAGAGAGCTGTTCATGCAAGGAATCCCAGAAATATCAATGACCTGAAACAGTTTTGTAAGGAGTAATGGTCTAAAAAAAAAAAAGTCTCATCTGCAGCTACAGGAAACATTTGGTGGAGGTTATCGCTGCTCAAGGAGGTTCTACCAGTTACTAAATACAAGGGTTCACATACTATTTCCAGCCTGGACTGTAAATGTTTACACATTGTGTTAAATATTGACAAGAAGTACAATTGTTTATGTTTATTAGTTTAAGCAGATTGTGATTTGTCTATTATTGTGACTTAAATGATGAAGATCAGACTACATTTTTATGAGTAATTAATCCAGAAATGCAGGTGACTCCAAAAGGTTCACAAACTTCTTCCTGCAACTGTAATAGAAGTTAAAAACAAGATGAGACCATTCGGCCTATCTGAACTGTTTACTAGTTAGTAGTTAGTTGATCCAATGATGTCACCTAGCTGTTTCTTGACAGAAGCCAGAGAATCGTCTGGGCAACTAGTTCCATACTCCACAACCCTTTGTGTAAAGAAGTGTCTCCTGTTCTCAGTTTTGAATTCACTTCCACACCGTTGCCACTTGTGCTTCTGCTATGATGTTTCACCATTCATTGTGAATAAACAGTCAACCCAAAAGGCATGTGTTAAGGATTTTGAATAGTTGTATTAAGGTATCTCAAGACTAAAATAGTTCAGTTCTGCACTGTACTCCTAAAATAAAAAAACTCAACAGCAAATGTATGATCTGATTAAGTTTTCACATTTATGTTAATGTGTTGGACAGCATTCATATAGAGGACATGTTAGGGGAAAAAAAAATCCAAGTGCACTTGGGCAAGACAGGAATCCGAGTCGGCTAGGGTGTGGAGGGGAGAGGGAAAGAACACCGTGTAAGAGCTGGAAACTTGACCCCTGGACAGGGTGGACACGTACACACTCAGCC